CCTATTAAAATCAATTTGTGAAACTCACAATCCTTTAATCAAGTATAATCTGTTCTGCAATAACATGATAGCTGAAATCCTTCATTATCAAAAAGCACTGTTAAAAACAAAAATCTCATGGGGAAAGGGGATTTGGGGTGAGTACAGGTTAAAGTCTAAAAAAGTTCTCTAGAATCAGTGATAGAGATCACTGCCATTTACTATTAATATATTCAAATTTCTTGAATCTGTGGGTTATATTTTCATCAAATTTGAAAAAAAATTAGCCTTTATTTCTGATATTTATCTAATCTGATAGTTACTTCTTAAGATATTTTTCTGGCCTAGAAACCCCTCTTCCCTACCCAACATACACTTTTCTGGGACTCCAATCACACATATATTAATTAGGTCACTTGAAGTTGTCCTACATCTCATGAATGCTATTTTCATTAATTTTTTTTTCTCTCTTTCATTTGGGATAGTGTTTATTGCTATGTCTTCAAATACACTAATCCTTTCTTTTGCAGAGTTTAATCTGCTGTTAATCTAATCCAGTGTATTTTTTGTTTCAGACACTGCAGTGTTCATCTCCTGAAGTTTGACTTGGGTCTTTTTTATATCTTCCATGTGTTTACTTAACTTTTTGAACATATAGAACACATTTATAGTAACTTTTAATGTTATGGTCTTCTAATTCTACTATTTGTGTCAGTTCTGACTAAAGGATTATATTTATTAAGGATCTTGTTTTCCTACTTCTTTATATTCCCTATAATCTTTCATTGCATGACAGACATTATGAATTTTATTTTGCTGGGTGCTAGGTATTTTGTACTCCTATAAATATTTTTGCACTTTGTTTTGGAATGCCAAAAGTTACTCTGCAATAATTTGATGCTTTCAAGATTTGCTCTTATGGTTTCTTAGGTGGGCCGAGAGCAGGCAAGACCTTCTTGAGTACTCTACCAATGCCTTGTAGGTTACAGATTTTTCCAATCTGGCTGGTAAGAATAGGCACTATTCCTGGTCCTATGTGGGTGCCTGGCACCGTTCCTTCTAATCCGTTGAGAACGTTCTTTCCCAGATTTGGGTACTCTTCTCATGCATGTATTGAATACTTGAGGGGAACCCTCTATAATAGAGATTCATGGTTCTCTTTCTGAGTAACTAACTCTCTTTAGTGTGCAGGCCTGTAAACTCTACCCATGTTGGGCTCCCTGAATTCTCAGTTTCATATCCTCAACTAAGGGAGTCTGCAGGACTCCGCCCACGTTCTCCTTCCATGTGCCAACAGCCAGGAAACTCAATAAAATAAGCTGGAACAGTAGGAAGGCTTTGTTTCCTTTCTCTAAGAATAACTGTTCTTCGTTGTCTGATTATCAATTATCTTGAAAAACCATTATTTTATATATTTTGGGGTTTTGTTTTTTTTAGGTGAAAGGATAAATCCAGTCTGTTACTACTCTGTCTTGGCTGGAAGGAGAAGTGCCACATGTGAGTCAAGTTTTATTCATTAGCTGTTCTCAATTTTAAAAGCAGAAGAATTGCACATTATAAAAGTATAAACTGAAGTTAGACTAAAAATTCTTTTTACAGGTATACAGGCTTTGCCAATTATTTTCCTTCAGATTGTAGTTTGGCTGCTTTCCATAGAAAAAGATATCCTACCTTGAAATCTAAAATACATTTATGGAATAATGTAATTATCCTACATATCTACTGTGTATTAAATATGTTGTAGTTTTCTATAATTAATGTATTCTATAAAACTAGGTAATTTTTTTTTTAAAGATTTTTATTGGGGAATTGGGGGATGGGAACAGCGCTGGGGAATTGGGGGAAGGGGAACAGACAAGTTGCTGTCCTTTTGTTCTTCAGTCTAGTTGTGGAGGACGTTGCTTCACTGGCTCAAGTTGGCACCATCATTGCACTCTTCCCGGGTGAGGCAGATCAGTCGCCGGCTTCAGGATGGCCGTTCACTGTGGCTGCTGGCTACACACGGTAGCTCATGGCAACCCACTGCAGCAGGGGCTGCAGCCTACACCGTCGCAGGGGACTCACAGCAGCCCAGCTCCAGGTTGAGCTGTTGTTCAGTATCTTAGCTGTAGAGGGCAGTGTCACTGGCCCTCATATGTGGGATCCAAACCGAGACCCTCTGGCGTCCCAAGCCAGCTCTTAACCAACGCGCCACTCTGCCAGCCCAAACTAGGTAATATTTTTAATGAAGAAAAAAAATAGCACAAAGCCAGGAAGGAAAGACTTATCCTCTCATTCCCCTATTACAATCAGAAATGCACAATGTCAAAAATTAATACATCTGTAACACAATCAATATTACAAATTCTATAGGATCCAAATATAGATCCATCTTATGTGGATTTAATATTAATAAATATTAAAAGATAATCTCATTCTGATATTGATGAAGAATAATAAAGTCTCTTAACTCACTCTAAATCAGAAAACTGTTTCTTCTCATTCACTTAAACCTCATACCCATAGTACTCATTCACATTGGTATGTTTTCCTTGGGTTGAGACACAAAGGAATTACCAAGCTTTTAAATTCAAGAATTAAGATGGAGAGCAGAATTCAGGAAGCCAGTATCAAATTGTAGTTACAACTTCTTCCTCAACTATGCTACTCTATTCTCCAGAAAATCCATCACCTTTTATATACCCTGAAACTTCTTCAAGTTTTTTTTTTCTTTTTAAGAGGCAGTGTACTTGTTAAAACTGCTGCTTGATTCAGAGGTACAAGGAACAGTAACATCTGAAGTTACACGCCTGAAACAGAAGCTTTCCCACTTGATGAATCAGCCTGGCACAATTCTCTATCCGTGTTGATTTTCTGCACTTCAAGATGGTCCACTGTCTTAGGATCACCATCAGTATATGTCAGAGCAGTTTTATGAGCATAAATAAGACTTTTAGTCATTCCTGAGAGGACAGAAGTAATCAAAACCATTAAAAGTACTGTAAAAATGGGAGGTCCTAAGTAGAAGAGATATCAGTCAGGGTCATCTAACCAGGAGACAGCTGTGGCAATACAACGGGGACCACGAAGTGGAAAAGCAGAAACCTTGACTGGGTATGGCTAAGAGATGGGGGTCCTAGACAGAAAAGAGAATGAAATGGGTAAACAAAGAGTTGGCACTTCAAGGAAAAAGTCCAAGAATTACACAAAACTGAAATCAGGAAGGAAGACAGAAACGCGTTGGTTAAAAGCTGGCTTGGGACACCAGAGGGCCCCGGTTCGGATCCCACATATGAGGGCCAGTGACACTACCCTCTACAGCTAAGATGCTGAACAACAGCTCAACCTGGAGCTGGGCTGCCGTGAGTCCCCTGCGACGGTGTGGGCTGCAGCCCCTGCTGCAGTGGGTTGCCATGGGCTACCGTGTGTAGCCAGCATTCAGCGTGAGCGGCAGTCCAGAAGCCAGCAACTTATCTGCCTCGCCAGGGAAGAGCGCAATGATGGTGCCAACTTGGGCCAGTGAAGCAATGTCCTCCACAACTGGACTGTAGAACAAAAGGACAGCAACTTGTCTGTTCCCCTTCCCCCAATTCCCCAATAAAAATCTTAAAAAAAAAAGAGTAATAAGTGAAGGATCAGACTAGGTACTGTTTTACTGCATGACACCAGAATTTTCATGATGAACTGCTTGCTATAGGGCACAGCCATGCTGATCCTGAAAATGAACCAGCTGAAGGTATTAAATCTGGGTAAGAAAACTGTTCTTAATGCTCTTTCCTGAGCTGCTCTAGGGAAGTCACAAAACATTTGATGTTCTCTTTAACAAGCAGTCTGTGTTTCCTTTTAAAGATGAAGCATGAGCAAGCCTAGCTTCCTGGTAGTAACCTCCTACTTGTCACCTGCTGCTTTGATGTGCTCGTGTTCATTGACGGTCATTTCATATTAGTGAAAACTTTAAACCAGATTAAAGTGGTTAATTTTGTAGCAATGGGTTTGGTTAGCCCTTTCTTTTTCAGGATGATGATAAACGAGTCTCTGGGCAGTGTGAAAGACCTCACGTGTTGCCCCAAATACTTAATTTACAGCAAGTGACTGGCTCGGGCGTTCTTCTGCCTCCAGCTCTCTTTGAAAACCACCCTGGGTAATCAGCTAAACCGGGGCCAGTACGTCTCACCATCTAGGCTGTTGCTGCATGTGCATGAACAGTGCCTCTAGGAGCCGTGCAAAGCAGGGGCCTGTCTATAAAATCAAGCTTAACTTTCGATTACATTCACTGGACTGCTTAAAAATTTTAAATTGTAAAGAATACAATAAGGGATAAGTTAATTGTAATCCAACTGTTCTCAGGTCAATTTAAAAGTGCCAAATATTTTCAGTTTCTCTCAAAGCCTTCAATCTCATGGCATAATATCAGTTTTTCTAAAAGTTTCACTTGGAAAAGTTCCCTAAATGAAAAGACAGGCTAAGCCAGAAAAATGTCAAGAAAGTTATTCATATTTTCCTAAGCAATTAAATATAGTTTCTTTCATAATATACTCTCATTTCCTCAAATATTCACATTTCTACCTTTAGAGAAATATATATCAATTATTCAAAATGAAGCTTTAGGGACTCTGATTTAAAAGTAAGGCAAAATATCATTAGTATATTCAATAGGCAAGTCAACACACAGACTGATTTTCTGCAACTGTCAAACTGTTTTTTGTTCGGTATCATTTTTCCTTGAAGATAATGGTGGGTTTCTCTCTAGAACCTGGGGCCAACTTAGCTCCTTCTCTGATTCTTCAGTTTCCTAAGCTTATATTTTATGTCTTTATTTTTCTACCCCATCTATCTTCCTTACTCTTGAAATGCTTAATTTCAAAGTTGTCACTGTTTCATGCTTTAACATGAATATTCCTTTACAAAAATATTAATGAAACATTAATACTATTAATGGCTTTATTTTCTCATAAACATGAGGAATGGTTACCAGGCAACTAGAAGTATAAACTCCTTTTATTAGCAAAGTTAAAAATCCTCAAGATATGATGCAAACTTACGTATTTCTTCCACAACTTGTGGGTCACATTCTTTATATTTTTCTACTTCTGCCTTTAGCTGTTCCCTTTGATCTCGAAGTGAAGAAAGCTCTTTTGCTAGCATGGTTCGCTCTTCCTGCATTCAAAAATAGTTTATGTACAACTAAGACAAACAAAATGCCATATGTTATAAGACTATACATTTATGGACATTTTCATTTTATTTCTCATAATTGATGTGCATTAGGCTTCTGACAATATTTTATATACACATACATCTATTTACAGTATAAGAACAAACTCGATTGTTATTTTTCTCTGACATCTCAAGCATCTTTTACATATATTGACTAACTGAATGGGAATTAATAAGAAGAATGGAATACTCATAAATAGATGTTACCAATTATGTATAAACTCAAAGACTATGTCATCATATGTTAGGAAAAAAATTAGACTGTCTCTTGGGTAGTTTCACAAGAGTGTGTGTGTGTGTATATATATACACACATATATATAGTATATAAGTAATATTTATGGTAACATCTATCATATAATTTTTCTTAAAAGTGTTCTAGACAACTTTTCAACCATTAAGGATTAACAACCTTTAAAAATATTTAAAGATATCAGAAACAACAGAATTATAGCTGTGGCCTCCCATCTCTTTCCTTTAATGCTAAAGAATACAGCTTTTAAGCACAATATGATCCAACAAATACCATTTGAAATTTCTAGCCATAGTTCTAGCAGGTAGAAGTCATAGTGCTACAGGTATTCAATTCATATGTGTAAAACCTGAAAAATAGGTCCAAACTAAAATCAAACATTAGCAAAGGTTATGGTACAGAATTATAGGATAAGTCTGAGGCAAAACCAAGTAGTTCATGCTGCTAATAACACTTGTGTAAGGGCCCTTGCTAGCTTGTGTTTCTGTATTTGTATTTTTCTATTTTTTGCTTTAACTCTTCTCTGGTTCCGTAGCGAAGAAAGCTCTTTGTTAGCATTTGTACAAGTGAATGCTTGTACAGAGCAGCATGCCCTGAAGCTGCACAGTCCAACAGGACTCTGTAATAAGAAAAATGTCCCAGACCTGTGTTCTCCAATGCAGAAAACATTAGCCACAAGTGGCTGAGTACAGGAAATGTGGCTATTGGCACCGAAACACTGAATTTAATTGTGTTTAATTTAAATGTAAACAGCCACATATGATTAGTGTATACCGTATTAGCACAGCTCAGGAGAGATTTTAAAATAACTACAGTATAAGATGGTCATTATTTGCCATCCACATTCATATTATACATGCTCCACAATGAAGAATGAGAGGAGAAAAAGCTAATGAAGGCGGGGGAAGCAAAGTGGTAAATATCCGTGGTGCGATGATAGTTCCAGAAACCCTCAAGTGGGCGCCACCTCAGACTATTACTAGCACTGAGACCTTTGCCACATTACTTCATCTCTTTGTGCCTTCAGTGACTCAAATGTAAAAATGGAGACAGTAATAGCAACGGCCTCCTAGGACTGTTGGCAGGATTCAAAAAAAAAAAAAAAAAACGTGTTTGGAACAGTATTCTGCCTGGCTCATAGTAGGCAGAATACTTATGTTCGCTATTTCTTCTTCATCATCATCATCCGCACCTGCATGATCATCACCTTGAATAATATTTAGTAGATGAGGCCTAAGTATTTCTGAAAAATCCTGATTGGTGAACTCAGGATGAACACAAGGGTTCATCTTTCTTAGAAGCCATTCTCAACTACCATATTCTTCTGATAGCTGCAGGCATCAAATAGGTTTGCTACTGGTTTTTTCCTCATTTCAATGGTTCCAGGGCACTGGGTAACACTCTGAAGACTGGCTCACAACTTGTGGGCATGGGTAGGTCACCATTAGTTGAAAGTGCTTCTATATGTCATTGCCAATGTTAAGGAAAAAGAGGATCAAATAAAGAAGTAGTAATTGCTACTATCAATCGAAGGAGAAATGTAACAGCTTCAGGTTATGCCCAGAACTTACCTTCCCTTGAATATTCTTCAGAAATCACCATTCTTCAATTCCTATCTGTGACTGTGCTGACTATTCACATGAAAGAAGGTATGTGAAATAACTTTGAAAAGCATAAAGCCACTGTAAATCTGTCATGTATTCTTTTCTACAGTGTGACACGTTTTTGAGTCTCTTTCACAATCAAGTGGCACAAATAGACACCTAGACAGAATGCTTAGTGGTTCCTGTTACTCTTCAATGTTTTCTCAAGTCATCAACCCACAACACCTGAGATAATGATGAAACTAGAGAGGACAGTGATTTTTAAAAACCTCTAACATAATACTATAGAGAACACTGCACTTTGGAAAATAAAGAGTAGGTCAATGCTCACTTAAACAATTTAGAAATATTACAAGGCCACAGGATAGATACTACGTTGATGGTGTTCAATTTGTTCTGCGCCAAGACTTCAAAAAAATGGCTCTTAAGAGTGTACGCAAACATTTATATAGGGCTTACCTTGTGCCAGGTTCTCTTTTAAGTGCTTTGCCAATATTAGTTTAATCCACACAATAACCAAATGAGGTAGATTTTATTATTCCCTATTTTACAACTGAGAAAGCTGAGAACAGGAGTTTAGGAGACTTTTCAAGCCAGGCAGTCTGGCTCCTGAGTTTATGGCTCTATGATGTGCTGCCATATGCACAATACAATAATCATAAATCTCGATTCCCAGTTAGAGAATCCTACCAGGGCAAATCTTCACGTCCTTTGCTGGACTCCCTTCTCTTCCAGTGGGAATGGCAAACTCTTCACAGGAAGCTCTATGTCCTTATTCTTCTATTTAGAATTGACATTATTAAAGAATCTACAGACACAAACTTACCGTTTCATGTCGGCCAATTTTAGCTTTCTCGATGCTTTTCTGCAGGTTTTCGTGCTTTTGGTTCCCCTCAGATAACTAGAGAATTAAAACAAATAAAATAGCTTGCTAAGATAAATTTGCTAAACATAAAGTTTACGAGTCAAAAATGACAAAATGAGATTTGTCTTTAGCCCAAGTCAATGTAAAAAAAAGGTCAAAGACTATACTGGAAAGTAACCTCAATTCGAAAAAATCAAGAACCATAAATCATTAGGGCAGACTGAAATAAAAAAAGTTTAAAAAGATTTCTTCCTATCCTAAGCAGAAAAATGACCAATATGCTCTTAACCTTTTCTAGTCTTCATTTATCAGGTTCCCCACCCCCATCCCAAAAAACCTGAGGTATGTGATTTAAAAACTGACTGAAAATTCAAAATCTGTTCTATATAAATTCTCTTCGAATTTCACTTTGCTTCTGACTAGTCTTTTCAAAACACTCTAGATTGGACCGGCCGAGTGGCGCGATGGTTAAGAACTGGCTTGGGATGCCAGAGGGCCCCGGTTCGGATCCCACATATGAGGGCCAGTGACACTGCCCTCTACAGCTAAGATGCTGAACAACAGCTCAACCTGGAGCTGGGCTGCCTTGGGTCGTCGGCGACGGCGTAGGCTGCAGCCCCTGTGGCAGTGGGTTGCCATGGGCTGCCGTGTGTAGCCAGCAGCCAGCGTGAGCGGCCAGCAGCCGCAGTGAGCGGCCGTCCAGAAGCAAACGACTGATGTGCCTTGCCCGGGTAGAGTGCAATGATGGTGCCAACTTGGGCCAGTGAAGCAACGTCCTCCACAACTAGACTGAAGAACAAAAAGGACAGCAACTTGTCTGTTCCCCTTCCCCCAATTCCCCAGCGCTGTTCCCAACCTTCCCCAATTCCCCAATAAAAATCTTTAAAAAAAACAAAAAAAACCCAAAAAAAACACAAAACACTCTAGATTATTTCTTATATGCTTGTAGTATTGTGACCTGTTTCATTAACATAGAGTCAAAAATGCATGCATAACTTATTATTCTTAAATAAGATACTTCATGAGGAATTGATACTTTATATACTAAGTTCTCAGAGAAGAAAAAATCTAGTAGCCTGTGGCTAATTTTACGCATGTTGTAGGCACCTTAAAAGTGATCAGCTTAAGCATTTTACTGAGCTTAGAGAGTAGTAAATTATATGTGGGAATGGATTAAATAATACCAGCATAAAGAGATTATAGATATAGAATATTCATTAGCATGTGGCTGGGCCCACACCAAAAAGGACCTGTTAATGTCAGCATACTGCCTCCCCTTCTTAACTTTTTAAATCTGACCTGGGCCCATGACAGGAAATTCCCAATACTAAATTCTCCACCACATCTGTTGCTATAAACTAGTCCGACATCGCAGTCTCACGTGATTGGGTGAGGGCCTTCTTAAAATATACTGCACTCCTCCTTCATTCGTGATTTACGAACATTTAGAAAATAACGATTGGATGAATGGTCTCTTTTGGTTGATTATATGAAACTGACCTATCACAATATGACCTAGTTATATGTAAAGGGCAAATAATAGTCAGATGCTCTTTTTTGCTTAAAAATAAAAAAACAGTATCTTCAAAAAGTTGGTAGTTTTACCCTAGCTTTAGGAAATCTTCTACTTCTCCATATGCATGAAGGAAGCATTGTCAGCCGTCACCTAATGGTTGTCTCATCGCTGATTCTAATCCATAGCACAAACAAGATCTGTCTCTGATGCCCAGGCACCACCCCCAAACCAGTTACACCTCTTCCTGAGAGTAATTATCTTCCTAAGTTAAAAAACAAAAAAACTTCTGTAGATTTAAGAGCCAAAATAAACTTTAAAGCCCTAAATTTATCAAGGAGATAGAGTTCTTTAAAATAAGGGTTTCCATTTATAAAATAACACTATGTTTACAAAGTTAATATTCCACCCTGAAGGATCCACTTGAAATAATTAATTAATACATGTAACATTTTAATTCAGGAATAGAGACTTTTCCAAAGAAAAAACACATATACATATTAGTACTACATTTTTTTCATTAAAAATGTTTTTAAAATAACTAGATAGGTAGATGTTATCCAAAAAGTTAATAATTATATAAAAATAAGTCAATAATTAATGGATATATATCTTAATTATATTAATGAAGTATCTTCCAGGTATTGTATGTCTGCTTGTAATTACTTACAACTTAAAAGCACTTGAAAGAGAGCTAGTTCAGCAATTCCTTAACTCTAAAAATAACCTTATGTATTTTAAATGTGATTTCATGATTTGTCATTTTTAGTACCTGAGTAATGAAGGGAGGCACAATCTAAATGATGTTATCAAAAGAGAAGTTTCTGCTGATTATCCTAAGTACTGAAACAGTCTGGTTCAGCTCAATAGTGAAGTATTCTTGGCTCTCTGTTTAGTTCTTAAAATCTCAACTACTGGAAACAATGAAAGCAACTCGTGTGAGGCGGCCCTTGCTATCAGTTTTTCATCTACACATCCTTTAGAAGCAAGACTGCTATAGTTCCTAACATGTACTTTGGAATTAAACCAAACCCAGGCTTCAAGTGATAAGAGCTGATATTTTCAGCCACTGTATAGCTACTACCGTGTTTCCCCCAAAATAAGACTGGGTCTTATATTAATTTTTGCTCCAACAATCTACATTGATTCAATTATTCATGTACAAAAATCTACATTTATTCAAACAGTCAAGTCTGGCTGACGATCTTACCTGGGGCTTATGTTTGGGGTAGGGCTTATATTACGCACATCCTGAAAAATAATGCTAGGGCTTACTTTCCAGTTAGGTCTTATTTTCAGCAAAACACGGTATCTAAACCAGTAGTTCTCAAACTTTAGCATGTATCAGAATCACCTGAAGGGCTTGTTAAAACACAGTTTTCTGGGCTCCACCTCCCAGTTTCTGAACAGTAGGTCTGGGGTGGGGGGAGCCTAATAATTTGCATTTCTAACATATTCCCAGGTTATGGTGATTCTGACACTTCTGGTAAGAGTCAGAACACTTTTGAGTACTGATCTAAACAAAACCTGTTGTGACAACAAACCCAACTAAATACAGAAGATATTAATATGAGAGGCTAACAGCTAGTTCATCAACAAAAATTAAATACTGCTAAATATTGGAACCTGAACTTGAAACAAAATATCTTAATATTTCTGTCACTAGAAGAAATTTTAAAACTCCACATTTACAAAATTAGAAAAAGGAGTGATGACTCTATATTCAAGAAAGGTATTCATTCACCATAGGATTCCTTTAAAGAGCAAACTCGCCTGACACATATCATAACATGAAACAAGAACCAACTATACACTGATTCAAATCCATTTCCAGCTCAGAACAAAACAGCAGCAGCAGCAGCACCAACAAAAAGTACTATAATTAGTAAGAGCAGGATTTCATCTTTAGATTTGAGGATCTGACACAATGCTTCTCTTTAATGCATTCCAGGCCACCTATACAGACACTCGGGGTTGAGAAACATAATGCCAATGTTTTCTCAAGGGCTAATTCGTTGCCTGGAGGAACTGCCTATTCATAAAAGGAACAGAAAGATTGATTCAAGCTGGCTGCTCTGGAATTCTGATTTGCTCCTTTTTAGAAATTAAAAAAAGAAAAAATCAAAGCATTAGTGAAGGAATACAGAGTTTTCATAGGTGGGAAAGAATGTCAAGGAACAGAGAGGGGAAAAAGAAGTAACAGCAAGAGAATCCAGATCTGTCTATTGTGTTATCAAAATCCATGTACAATGTTATGGAAAATAGGTTCTATGTCGTTTGTTTTCCGTTGAAAAAAGTCAGGATCATTTAAAATTTTGTATGTTTAAAAAGTCTTGTTAAAGAGTATCTAAAACTTTAAAATTTATCTTTTAAGGCAATAGTCCATGTAGGAGTCAATCATAAGGAAACAATAAACATTATAAAGATATATTTATAAAGATGAGAGCCATGTAATTATCTTAATACAAAAATGTTAAATTAATATTTCATGATATAGATGTGTCATAATTATGTAGCCAAAGGAAATGTTTTGGAAGAATTTGTAACAATACTAAAATACTCAGAGAATAGAGCTTTTAAAAGGTGGAAACAAAACTGTCAATATATTTGAGAGCCTACCTGACAAAAAAAACATACAAAATTTTTAAAACGTTTATCTCTATATTGTGGAACACACTTTAAAATTTTCTATATAATGAGCATATATAACTATTATTTAAAAAATTGTTTTCCCATTATAAGCAACACATTAATGTACTCTCAAGAGATTAAAATGAGTATTGTTTTAAGAGACCCAAATGCAGAAGTACTTCAAGTCCCCTTTAGCTCCCCACCTGTGTGCCTCCCCCACAAACCCCTCCCCAGACGTGACGCCTATAAAGTCTAGTGGGCATCCTTCCTGTCCTATTCCTTTGCTTTATATTTAGATATAGATCAACACACAGAACATTTCAAAACACATATGGGATTATCCTTTACATAATGTTCTGCGACTGAACTTTTTTCAGAGAAATTTCCATGTCGACATATGTATGTAAATCTACTTAATTTTTAAAAATACATTTATCTTTTAGGGCAGCTTTAGGTTCACAGCAACACTGGCTTGAAGGTACAAAGAGTTCCCGTATAACTCGTTCCCATCGTCCCAAAGAGAAGCTTTGCCCGTTAGAGCAGCTCCCCAGTCCTCTCTCCATGCAGCCCCCGGTACCTGCATTCTGTTTCCTAGCGCTATGAATTTGCCTATTCGAAGTACTTCCTATAAGAGGACTCATACCATATTTGTTCTTCTGTGTCTGGCTTATTTCACTTGTCAAAATGTTTTCAAGGTTCATCCATGTTGTGGCTTGCATCATAATTTCATTCCTTTTTATGGCTGAATAATAAATATTCCATGGTAGGTATATAACATGTTTTTTATAAAATCCATTTATCTGTCGATGGGCATTGCATTGTTTCTATCTTTTTTTTTTTAAGCTGAGCCATCCTGCTTGCTACCTGTTGGCAGCTCAGCGGCAGCTCAGCT